GTTATTAGGTACTTTTAGATATAATAAATTAAAAAAAAACAATAATATTAATATCAGGTTTGTACCTTGCACCATACGGGGCATCCCTCATCCCTCGAGGATAACTAACGAGCTGTTAGCAAATATCGTACAGATGCGGTCAGAGGGCGCGTCTAATAGAATTTATGAACGTTAATAGTTGTTAATAGATTGTTAGTAAAATATATGATAAGTATACCTTTTTTAATTAAATCAAATAAATCAAAGCTGTTAAACCGTTCTGCCTTATAATTTACCAGCTTTCTTATTTATTTTTTACCGGTAAAAAATGAGTGCTGTTTTACTGCTTGTGTAATGAATATCTTTTTGAACACTTGATTGTATGATAAATTTAAAAAAAAATTGCAATTACAAATATACTTAATTATATTTACAATATTAATATAATCATTATATATAAACCACGTCCGTGTGGAGAAAGAATACTATTACTTACCTACAGATAAAATTTAAAACTAAAGTAAATTAAGCAGTCTTCTTTAGTTTCGAAATTTACAACCTATTTGCTAAATAAACCCAAAGATTCGTTATACGCAGCATCGATTTACACTTTTTTTTAAAAGATTCGCCCCTTGCAGTGTCAATAACAAAATCTATTTGTCATAGTGTGAGCTATAAATAATATCGCTTCGGTATATTGTGCGAAGAAAACAAACATACGCCCTTTGTAATTATTCTGTTTGCGCAGTTGGCAACACCGTCACTGTCACCGTGACGTATCGCGCGCGGGAAATATCTGTGAAATCTAATATACTTATATTTTTTATTATCTTTATAACGTGAATTTTTTGGAATTTGCTTATTATTTTTTGTTTAATGAACTAAAAGTCATACAAAGGTATATCGGAATTATATTTATGAAATAATTTTATAGTTTTAATATTTCTTAATGGCAAGTTTTATTAATTTTCGCCGATCATTAACTCAGTTTGGTAAGTTGAACCATAGAGTACTATTTTAATTTTATTTCAATTAAACACACAAATTGTTTTATCTATCAGCCATAAATACGAGGGAAGCAACAATTATCAAATACGCAAAGCCCATATATTTTGACAAAAGCTAATTCTAGGCGTGATAATAGGTACGGGCAGAGCTTTGTGACAAATTTCTCGCTTCGGAACACTCTATTAACAACACAATAGATTTTTTGTAGCCCTTTTTGGAACCGCAGAGATGTCGGCACTTTTTGCAGTTCTGATGTAGGTATATTTTTCGAAGAAAAAATCTAGATATTTTGCTACTTAGAATTAATACTTTTCCGATATTAAACCATATACCTATGTACCTTTAGCATAATTAATATAACTGTTATTAAAAAAACGTTTAAAAAATAAAACTTTCATGTAGGTAGGTAGGTACCTACTTAAGTTATATTTTAATAAATATATGGGAATTAAATTTGTGAAGTTACATAATTAACCATATACCTTATTGTACCTTATAGCATAATTAATATAACTGTTATTAAAAAAAACGTTTAAAAAATAAAACTTTCATGTAGGTAGGTAGGTACCTACTTAAGTTATATTTTAATAAATATATCCGAATTATATTTGTGATGTTACATAAGGCTTTTAGGCAATTTAAAAACAAATAAACCTTATTTAACCGCTTTTAAAATATTTAGAAGAATCAAACCATGAGCTTGCCATATCTACCAGTTTAAATGCATAACTTTAAAAGTTTTACCTCTTAATATCGAAGGTAAAGGCCTACCCCAGGTTAAAATGTGTGGACAGCATTGTGACAAATTTCACTCGCATCGGAACACTCTATTAAAAGTGACAATAGATTTTTTGTATTCTAAGTAACCATTCCAGACCGCAGACTCGTCGTTTTGCTAAAAGCCGACAATTTGCAGTAACCACGGCTAAGTTAGTATGTACTGGTTCACCTGCGGCTTTTCTATTCGACCAGCATTAAATAACATTGAATTTAAGTAGAACTTGTAAATAAACAGTGTTAAAGTACTTTATAAGTCTACATATAGGTACATTGACACACACACATTTATATATATATATATATATATATATATATACCTGTAAAAATCGCCATTGCTGATATATGGCGATTTTTACAGGTATAAAATAAACGTTTTACGAAATATTGTGTTATATCATCTGTTTGGCTGCTTCTCGTGGTCAAATGATCTTAAAACATAGCCACGTTTCATGTTCATAGTTGAAGAGATTATTTTAAGTTACAGCTTCTATGCGCTCCTAAGAAAGCGGCTTGTTAGTCTTTAGTCTTGCAACTTACGTTGAAGCTAGAATTAGTTATGACATTATTATACACAAACTAGGTGCTTTAATCGGCTTCACCAACTATTTTTTTAAATAAGTTAGGCCAAGAAAATATTGTTTATACAAAATTTTCCTAAGCATCCTTTTTGGGGATTAAATTAAAAAATAACGTCTCTTAGCCTTGGCTATTATAGGAATAAGCTGTCAAAATGTCAGCTCTCTAAGTCTCTAATGCTTTTAATTTAGGCGTGGAATCTGTCCGAATAAATAGTTTTATATGTATAATGTAGATAACTGACTAAAAATATTTAATATTGTGTTATTTTATATGATTATTGATGGTATTTTATGTGATTATATGAGTTATTTTTAAAGTATCTTTTTTTTTAACGTTGGGAAATGCATTTACGCACGAGGTGTGGGACTCACCGGCAAAGCCAGTACTACCCACTAAAACCCAACAAAGCCTTCCCCCGTCTTAATTTTTAAAGTATCTACTTCTATTTGACTTCAATGACTTCTACCTTTCATAATAAATGCTTTACAAGTAATAGAAAAAAGTATCTAAAGTACTTGCTCCCTACTGAAGCGTTTCATTTTTAGCTGTAAAAATCAGTGACGTGTAAACACTTCAGAGCTTGCCGAAAACCTACGTGCAAGCAATTGTTATAAAACCGAACACCTTTGTAAACAAGAGCAGTTGAGCAGAAATCTGTGTATAAAAGATTGCGAAGAAACAACTCAACATTTTTGTTATTTCACGTCATTTTCTTTGTCTTTTTAATAAGATATTCTCTAATATATAAATATATAATAATAAGAAATATGTTGGGATATAAACACACAACACCATCTCGTTCCATGGTAAGCTACGAGGCTTGTGTTATAGGTACCAGATAGTTGATACACTACACATATATAACTTTAGATGCATACATATTATAAACAGTAAACACCCATGACTGGAGTAAAAACATTTGTGCTCATCACAAAAATGAATGCCCCAGCGGGACTCGAACCCGCGATCGCTGGCACAGCAAGTAGGGTCACTACAAACTGAGCCAAACGTGTCGTCAAATGATGACTGACCTAAAAATATAAGTAAAGGTCGCCTCAAACGATAAAATATTGACTCAATTTTAACCCAAAAACGATTTTCTTTAGTTTGTTGATTCTATAATATTCAGGACGGTCCAATTTTTATAATTTCACTAATATAGAATTACCTTCTAGTAAAACGTTTGTAGAAACTTTTACTAAGTAAAAGCTACATTATGGGTGATTATAAGCTTTAGCACGCGAGCGAAGCCGTGGGCAAAACAGTAATTAGCAATATTTTTGTACCTCCCAAGAAGATACTACAGATGAAATATGACTGAGCAGGTACCACGGAGGCATTAACACGATCTACTGTTAAAAATCACATCTACTGTATTCACCGTCCTAGAATTCTTTATAAAGCTTGCTTTTTTAACAAAAAAATGTTATTCAGGCAATTTCCTACATAACATTAGCCATTTAAGACTTAAAATCGAGTTTAAAAGGTTTTGTACAAAGGGCTGCTTATCTGAGGTTTTAGGATAATCTTTTGTTGACAGGAATTTTACCTTTCTTGTGGTTTCTCAGAAGCAGAATCTTAAAGAAAGTGATTATAATTAAAAATGTACTTGTGAGTGAAAAAAGAAAGTGAATTTGAGATATTTATAAAACAAATAAAAAGGCATAATTAAATTCATAAAGACGTTCTTTCAAAGAAAATTTACGTTTTTTGAGTCAAAATGAAATCATTTGGTTTATAAAGAGAATTATCCAATTTATTTTGATATATATTTTATTATATTCCAAATCGTTACATTTGTAAAATAAGTCATATTGTTGTTGTACATCTACATGTCTTTTTAAAACAAATATACAAAACTATTACAAAAACAAAAACAACCAAATCATTACAGAGATCGTAAAATGTTTTTTATAACACATGTCATCACATTGATATACCCAACTCAGTACACAAAGACGTCAAGCGTGATCGCCCTCAATTTGCAAAGGAATCTCAGGTAACCGAAAAAAAAATAAACGTGACAAAATGTCTGTAAACATGTACCTACCTACGCTACAGAAAATAAAAAAAAATGTATAGAATTCGCGATGTTTGAACGTGACGAATTTCAAATTTGGAAGGCGTTTCATTTGACTTTTGTGTGCCAGTGTTGCAATAATGCGTAAAATTTCCTATTATATTAGCAGTAATTGTTAAATATAAAAATAGTTTATGATTGCAAAATATTAGACCGACGTAACTTATAATTGAACATGACGTGAGTTCAATTGAGCCATTAAACGGCGCATTGGCCGTTAAAATTGCTTTTAACTTTGAAAGCACGATACGGCAATTATTTTTAAATTGGAATATACTATTGATACTTTATATTTTTTTAAATTATTTATCTATGATAGTTAGAACGTTATCCAGGTCATGATTGATGCGTGAGGTACATCAGTTATGTAGTTATTTTTTAGTTATTGTATTTGATCATTTTATTATAATAAACAAAATAATAATATCTAAAAATAAATACACAAATTTTTATTTAAATATTATTTAAGTACATTAAAAACATTATATATTTTAGTTTATCTACGTGAATCATTCGCATTGCAATACTATTGTATACATTAAACAATTAAAAATATACAATTTATTTGTTACAGTTCACCAAAAATGCGATCACGAACACGCTAAGACCGAAAAAATGAGACACACTTCCAAAATGTCGCGGTGATTACACAAGATGGCGCTGTTAACGAATTCGTCCGCAAGCGGGCCGACAGCGACGCCGGCTGCGCAGGCGCATCATTCTACGACGCCGTTACATCACTACTTCCATTATCTGAAGCAACCATCACCCCTAGCTCAAAACCCATACGCACATCACTCGAGTGCGCACCACATGGGCATGGGTCCCGGACCCTTGGGTGGTCTTGGCCCATTCGGACTTACGCACCATGGGCTGGAAGCAGTTGGTTTTCCGCAAGGTATGTTCAGACTTTGTAAAAGTACTTATAATAATCTATGTGGTTCTAATTATTTTTTATTATTCTTATAGGGTATCTTCTAGTTTATAGAAGGACTTAATAAATTAAAATTGCAGATTCTCATTTATCTCTAAGGAATTGATTTTTAGTAAACACATCTTTTGTAAACCTAAATTGAACATAAATTATATATCTAATATCACATAATATATATATGAAAGAACTGTGTGTGGGTGGAATTAGTTTGTACTAGTAAAGTAGGCGTGAATGTCGAAAAATTGTAACTATATAAAAGAGACAAAAATACTTAAATATTATTCAGTTATCGAGATCGAATTTAATAAAAAAAAATTGTTATTAAAATCAGGCGTTTTATTGGGTTTTTTAAAATTTCATTTTCCTCGTCGATAAGTAGGTAAATATTTATTTTTAAAGTATAAAGCTCTTTATAGGACAAGCTAATAAAATCTATCAAGATCAAATAGGGAAAATCAATAACACCGGTAAAGTACGCGTCCAATGAATTCTAAATAAAACGAAATTGAGAAATAATCCGAAAAACAATTAGGGATTGTTTCGCGGTTTTATATATTACCTATATATATACATATATATATCCATATATATATATATATATATATATATATATATATATATATATATATATATATATATATATATATAATAGGTATATTGCTTTTAGGTTTCCTACTTTTTGAATGTTTTACAGCAAACATGGTTACATGACAAACTAAAATTTAAAAAGTCTCAAAAGTCATGGTTATAACAGACGATCTCATTCTTTTCTTTATTTAAAACTAACGGCTCACCCTCGCTTGGTTCGAGTTCACATCTAGAAAAAAAAACAAATCTATCACATGGTAATCGTACATTTTTCCCATATAAAAAGTAGCCTATGTATTATTCTGATGTATGAGTATATTATAGTAAAGTTTTATTAAAATCTATTCAGTAGTTTTTGCGTTAAAAAGTAACAAACATTTATACATCTATACATCCAGACATCAATACATCCTCACAAACTTTCGCATTTATATCTATACATATAATAAAATTCTAACTAAGTCAAATCTGTACATTAAATATTTTTTAGAAAATCTTATTGAAATAGACATTATTATCGATACAGAGGCTGAATGTATAGTTTTTAGAATTTTTGTCTGTCTGTTACCGCATCACAGAAAAACTACTGGACGGATTTTGATGAAATTTGGTATGGTCATAGCTGATTGCCCGGGTCAACATATAGCATACTTTTTACCGCAGAAAAATATCTCATTTCTGAGAAAAAATACAAAAACTGGTTAGAATAAAAAACGATGATACTATAATATAGATTTATATTTATTTATTTATAGATTTTAGCAAGTTAACTTACTAAATATGTCAAAAACTATTAAAAATAGCTAATCTTGAAAAAGTATATCAATTGCACTATTTTATTCATAAAAAAAATATTTTAATGAATATTTAATTTTTGTATTATTTAGATATTTGTCAATAGATGTCGCCATGTGTCTTTAAAATACATAGTTTTAATTTCAAAAAATTGAATGTACAAATTCGACCTTTTTATGATTTTATTAGAATTACTACTGAATTACCCGCGGCCCCGCCCGTGTTTTAATTATCAAAAAACAATCTTTTTGACTTTATAAATTAGTTATATCCATAGATACATTAAAATTTAATAAAGCAGTATCTGTGCTTTAAATATTTTTTGGAAAATTTTATTGAAATACACATTATTATCGCTAACAGAGGCCTGTAGAACCTATGTTTTAAGGATTTTTGTCTGTCTGTGACCGCATCACAGAAAAATCACTAGAGGGATTTTGAAGAAATTTGCTATGGTAATAGCTGGTTATCCGGGTCAACTAATATATTAATACGAGTATACTAATATATAAAACCTAAGAATTTGGTTTTGGTCATATGAACGCGGGCGGAGCCGCGGGCAATGCTAGTTTAATAAAAGTATAGATGTCAAATATTTGCGTAAATCGACGAAGTTATTACGTGAGATGAACTTAAGAAAAACATAAATGGAAAAAAAGTATTATTTAACACCGAGTTCAATAGAGAGTAAGTAAAAATAATGTCCTTCTGATGTTTTCTTTGAATGAAACGACCGATAACATTCTGAACGGAAAAACAACTTTTCTCTAGACGTGGAAAGTAAAATAAAGTAATTTAATTTTCTCATACGCTATATTTTATTTCAGTGAGCGAATTTCAAATTTGAATATGGAGTTTTCTAATTTATTCCAAGTCTGGTTTTTGTAATGAAATTTAAATGAGTTCATTTATACTTAGTGACGCGACGGTGGAATCTTACGAAGTACGCTTCTTTGGGTATATCTATGTTAGTACATATTCTATGTGAATACGACATGATTTACAATACTTTACATTGTAGTTTAAAATATTGTGTGAAATAATGATTGTGTTATGTTTCTCACAAAAAAACTGTTAATAACATAAAGTAATAAATATTAATTTTTACTTAAAAATTTACGAAAATTCATTCAAAAAATCATCTTCTTATGTATAAGAACCAAATTTCATGCTTTTATACTTAATAGGCTCACTAATAATGATTGTTAATATAATATGATTATTGAATATCGAAAATTAGCTATTTTACTAAAGAGTTTTACTTATATTGATACATTCTTTCTTTGTGTTTAATCACTTTTTCCAAAAACACCTTGACAGATTTCCACGAGACTTTTTTTTTGTCATTTTAAATTAAACTTCGGTTCGGTCTTCGCGGATTTATTTTGACTTTTGGTCTCTCCCGTGACCATGATTGCTCTAAAGCATTCGAAACGTCGGGAACCAAAAATCAAAATAAAAATCCGAAAAGATAGTTTTATTTAAAATGTCAAATATTCGCGTAAATCTAAGAAAGTACTTATAACTTGCTTTTGTATTGATATAATCATAGTCAAAATTAAAAAAAAAAAACTTGTACATTAGTTTCAATGATATAGTTAAAAGCTAAAATATAATAAAGCTAAAATTAAAAAAAGCTCAATTAAGTTCATATAAGCTTAAGAGCTTATATGAACTTAAATGAGCTTTTATAAGTAATATAAATATAAAGTCATTTGAAATATACTTTACATTTTTATTATAAGCCTGTTATAATATAGATATAGGTATGTACATCAGGTATCAGATCTGCATGTCGCATATCACGCCTAGAACCTTGTCTATTAGCTACGGTCCTCGCTTATTCGAAATTGACTTCAAACGATACGCTACAATTATTATATGTAATTTAAATGCAAAGTATATTTGTTCTTACAAATTGTTAATGGTTAATGATTTAGTCTGTTACCCATGCGTTATTTATTGACATTTATTATATTAATCCATGTATTATATAGCTTACTGCATCGTTGGTGTAGTCCTGGGTTCCTGGGAAGGACATAGGATACTTTTTATCCCGGAAATCATCCCTTAAGGGGATGAAAATGGGGATGAAAGTTTGTATGGGGAATCAACCTAGGGACGAACCCGAGCGAGAGTCGCTACTTTTTGTATAAACATCTAGCATTTTTACAAGTAATTTAACCGTCGTCGTATATCTAATACTGAATAAGAAAATGTTATAAATAAAATATAGGCGGGGAAGCAAGTAGCAACGGTTGCATAATTTAAGTACCAAGACATCGTTGCCTCCCCCATAAGCCGCTTATCTTCCACCCTATGAGGGTATGCTTGTTAGTTGTTTTAATTAGTGTTTTGAATATCGGTCATGTACCTTTTTGGGCGTATTCTGTATTATCTTAGTAACAGACAAGGCCATGAAGCAGTGCAGATTTATTATATCTAGATTCCCTTATATAATTTGACAGGAATTAATTATGTTTTAACAATAAAGATTAAATTCAAAATTTAATTTTTCTTACAAATTGTTAATGGGTAGTGATTTAGGCTGTTACCAATGCATCATTTATTTAACATTTTTTGTATTAATTCATATATTATATAGTTAACTGCGTCGGTGGTCTAGTCCTGGGTTCAGATCTCGGCTTTGAAGATTTCGACATAATTTTATAATAAACTTAAAATTAATTATTTTTTCCTTAGGGAGGACTTTTTTTAAAATTTATGCGAGACACTTAGTTTATTCATAGAAAAATAATGATGAAACCTTAAATTTTCAAGTTTATTTTTGGTGATTTTTACATTTGGCGAAGATATTGCTAAACATACTTTAATATATAAATCCATTGGGTACTTTCTTGTTTTTTGAATTCGGTCTAACATACCATCATATATGAGACAAGGCATAACTTTCTTTGCAGAATCTCATACCAACAAAAAAGAGATTGCTATGAACAAAAATCGAATCAGTGACCTCTAGATTAATAAGTATCTACACTAATTTCCCATACATACCAACCTTTACACAAACATACATACATAGTTACATTCATACATATGTACATGCGATCGCGTTATCTCTAGCACAAAAGAAAACAACCTTTTAACGATACTATTTATCTTTTTTAACTTTAAAGAGTGAAAATTAATAAAACAAAAAGCTCTCATAGATACTGTGTTATTCCGCAAAAGAAGCCGCCAATAGTCTTATAGTAATACCTATATCGATCAAAGTATTAGACAAGGCTTAACATTTATTTGTAAGTAACAAGGATGAAAATTTTTAATTAAAATAATAACGTGATGTATCGATCATAACGATACTAGCGTTTTTTAAGTTTTAATTATAGTTTAAAGTCATTAATTTGCACTTTGTGTTAATCGCCTAAATAATTAATTAATATTAACGACACGTATGGCTCAGTTTGTAGTGACCCTACTTGCTGTGTTAGCGGTCGCGGGTTTGAGTCCCGCTGGTTCATTTGTGTGATGCGGTAAGAGACAGACAGACAAAAATTCTAAAAACTATAGATTCGGCATCTGTATCGATAATAATCTTTATTTCAATAAGATTTTTCAAA